TGATCTCTGAAACTCCTTTGAAGAACTGTCTTGCTTGTTTGTTCTTTCTTTCTTCTTCTATATATCTGATTATTTGTTCCTGATACTCTCTATTCTTCCTTTGCACTCGTTTTCTTGTCTCTCTTCTTCTTTGTTTATACATTTCATTGTTGTTGTGCGAGGGGTTTTGTAGCATGTTGCTTCTAGCCATATTTCTTGCTGTTATGGAGTTCAGGCAATCATCATCGAACCATTTTTTGTTGTTTTCTTTTTGTGTTCTTGTATTTCATCTGATACGCTTGTCAGAACTAATTTGATATTTTTCCAAGATGAGTCTATGTTGTTGTAGTCTTCTGTCTGTGTTAGAGCGAATTTTATAGCCTTTTGAAATTTCTGTTCTGTCTCCTTATTACGTAAAACTTTAGTATTCCATAATTGTGTTTGTGTCTTCTTGTGTGTTTTTTTTGGACGCTATTCTTGTCCTTATCTTCGCTTTTACCAGAAAATGATCTGTGTCTCCATCAGCTCCTCTTAGGCTGCTTACGTGTAGACTGTTACTACCCCTCCTGGCATCTAGTAGAACATGATCGATCTGATTTCTTGTGACTCTGTCGTTGGAGACCCATGTTTGTTTGTGTATTTTCTTGTGTTCGAACATTGTCGATTGTATTAGTAGGTTGTGGGACGCTGCAAAGTCTATTAACCTTGATCCATTATCGTTGCTGACATCGTGAAGACTATGGTTACCTATTGTTGGTTTGTACGCTGCTTCCTTTCCAATCTTTGCATTGAAATCTCCTGTTTGGGTAGATTATTTATCAGTTCCTCTAGATTCTCGTAGAAGTTATCTTTAACATGCTCTTCCTTTTCCTCTGTCGGTGCATGAACAGTAACTAGGGAATAGTTAAGTAGTGTCCTTTGAGTCTGATATAACAGAGTCTTTCATTAACGGGTTTGAAAGTTAAAACTGACCCCACAAGATCTTCCCTGACTATAAAACCAGTGTTGAATTGATGTTCCCGTTCGCTTCCGCTGAAAAATACTACTGATTTATTAGTTTTTAGTGTACCTTCTTCAGTCCATCTAATCTCTTGTAAAGCAGTTATGTCCATGTTTCTGGATTCAAGTTCTACTTCCCTCTTGCTTGTGGATTATAAAATGAATATTTTTGGTATTATTTGGACAAATGAAGGTCTAAGAGTTTTACGAAATAATGAACAATGAAAATTAAAATGGGGTTTCAGGACTTTCCTAATATGAAAATTAATTTATAAGCGATTGTACCTAGAGATAAGTAGTAAAGATTAGGAATTAGTAAGACATATTTGCATAAATTATTTAGAATAAGAAAATAGGAAGGGGAGCAAGATATATAGTTTCTTTGAGTATTCTAATTGGTCAAGGAAGATATTTTGAGGAATGGGTAGCAGAGAAAATCGAGTTTTCCAATTTGTTCATTATTTACTATTTTAAATACGCAAGAAGCAATCATTTCAGAATGTATATTCCACTTCAAGAGGGAAAATTTCTATTTTATATTATTATAAATGGTTTCCAAATTATTACGTTCACCAAAGGTCGTGGATAAAATATATCATACTAAAAATCTCAGTGAAAAAAAAACATCGATTAAGTAGATTTAAAAAGATATGCGTGACCAAATTAATATCCATGTCAAGAGCTTTTGAAATATTTTAAACATTTTTGTGACACACAGTTTAATGTATTAATTATCAAGACCACAATGTATACAATCATGTGAGTAACAACACTTTGAAAAATTATAAATTTATTAATAATTTGTATATTTTGGAGGGGCTGATTTAGATAAAATTCTGGACTTTGACTTCCAAACAAAAAGATTGCATATTCTTCGCCGATATGCAAAGAATGTGAATTACAAATAAAATTAATATATTTATATTATGAAATTATAACACAAACTAACAATAATAAATAGCTTAAAAATATAGCACATTATCTTTTCTGTGTAGCTATTAAAGAGTGTAAACGAAAATGCAGAGGCATGGCGTAGACATGACAGGTGTATAGCAAACGATAAAGATGGTCTGGAGTACATGGCAAGGAAAATTACAAGAAGAATATAGAAAGTGGAGACTAGAAATTAATACAGAAAAAACAAAATACCTGCCAATAGGTACCGAACTATCGAACATCACATTAGAAAATAACTAAATCATTATGCCCTGGGACCATTACACATACTAGGAATCGTTTTTGACACAACGGGAAAAGATGATGAAGAAATAAATAAGAAGAATAACACAATCAAGAAAAACAATAGGTTGTCTAAAGAGCGTACTGTGGAGTCATGAAATAGGAAAAAGAAAGAAAGCACAATATTACGAATCTCTTATTAAAAGCAGTCTATTGTACGGAGCATAAACTTGGAGATTAACCGAAAATAACAGAAGAAAACTAAAGGAAGTAAAAATGGACGCTTTTAGAAGATCAGTAGGAGGAAAGAGGAATACGTAATGATGAGATAAGACAGCGAATGGAGGTTGACGGCTCTCTAACAACAGACATAGATAGAAAACAGCTGATATGGTACGGACACGTCCAGAGGATGCATAACTCAAGATTCAAAAAAATAATTAGTACCACCAAACCGCAGAAAGAGAGGAAGACCCAAGAAATCTAGGAGTGAGGGAGTAACAAAGGCGATAAGCGCAAGATATCTTCTTCTTCTTCTTCTTACGGTGCCTATCCGTTCCGGATGTTGGCGATCAACATGGCTATCCTACCTTTGCTTGCTGCTATTCTGAATAGTCCGGTTGTCGATGTATTAAACCACATTCTCAGGTTTTGAAGCCAAGATATTCTTCTTCTCCCTGGTCCTCTCTTTCCAAATATCTTGCCCTGAAGAATGAGTTGCAACAAGCCGTATCTCTGTTCATTCCTCATAACATGGCCAAGATATTCTAGTTTACGCTCTTTGATGGTGTTTAATAATCTCGCATTCCTTGCCTATTCTACGTAGGACCTCAAAATTAGTCACACGATCCACCCATGAAATTCTTAAGATACGTCTGTAACACCATATCTCGAATGCCTAGAGTTTTCTTAAGGAAGCTTCGGAAAGTGTCCAGGCCTCTACTCCGTATAATAAGGTAGAAAATACATCGCATCTAATGAGAGATATTTTGGTAGCAAGTGGTAAATCGTGACTTCTAAAAAGAGGCTTCATCATTACGAACGCTGATCTCGCTTTTCCTATGCGTTCTTTATTTCACTGAAGTGATCCCATTGGCTGTTAATGTTGGTACCAAGGTATGTGTAGCTGTCCGCTCTGTCAATTGGATGTTGGTTAACCAAAAGCTGTGTATTTAATATTTCGCGCTTACTGACTACCATGTACTTTGTTTTCTTCGTATTAAGATCAAGTCCGTGTTCTCTACTTATATGTGATATACGCGACATTATTCTTTGCAAACCGTCCAGGCGTCCAGACTATCTGCAAAAACTACTGCGTTGTCGGCATATCTAATGTTGTTTAGAAGCATGCCATTGACTAATACGCCTTCTTGTTGTTCTCCTAGCGCTTGCTCGAAGATATATTCAGAGTATAAATTAAATAACACCGGGGACAGAATGCATCCTTGCCTCACTCCTCTATCTATGGAGACTGCCTCTGTCAATTGATCATCCACTTTAATATTGGCTGCACTTCTTTCAAGATGTTTATAAGTCAAGATATCTTCTTCTTCTTCTTCAAGTTACACTCCTATCGGAGATTGGAAATCATTCTGGCAATTATAATTTTATTGGTTACTCACCTGAATAGTTCAATTGAACTGCATCCAAACCACTCACGGAGATTGTGTAGCCACGAGATTTTACGTCTGCCTACGCTTCTTCTACCTTTGATTTTACCCTGCATTATATTCCTTAGTAGTTCGTACTTTTCACCTCTCATGATGTGCCCAAGTATTCCAATTTCCTGATCTTTATGGAATTTAAAACTTCGCATTGTTTTCCTAGTTGTTCGAGAACTTGTTCGTTTGTTTTGCGATCCATCCATGATATTTTCATAATGCGTCGATAACACCACATTTCGAATGCTTCTAGGTTTTTAATGTTGGATTTTTTAAGTGTCCAAGCTTCAACTCCATACAAAAGGGTAGAGAAAATATAACATCGAAGCATTCTTATCCGGAGCGATATATTGATATCGCGATTACAAAAAAGTTTACAAAAAAGTTTACAAAAAAGTTTATTAAAAGATATCTTAGAGAGGACCAATGGGATGATAGAGTGTCATAGTGGAAATTAGGCATCCGACAACGCCGCAAGACGTTTTAAAACCGATATATATATATATATATATATATTATATATATATATATATATATATATATATATATATATATATATACCTAACAATTATTATTAATGGTATTATCTTATTTTTATAAAAATTGGTAAAAGTTAGTATTTAGCTCCAAATTAATTTTTATTTAACAACCATTAACAAACAACTTCTACTGCTTTTTTCTATGGAAGCCCTCTGTTATAAACCAATGTAGCAAATAAGCTTATTGTATTTTCCATTTCTCTTCTTCTTTTTAGTTCAGGCGATACTCGACACTTGGTTGTACTTTTATACCATACCTTTTTCCAATAAATTGCATTACCCTCTACCTTGTAGCTTATAGAGCTATGTAGCTTATTTACATAAGTAAAATAAGTTTTTAGAATCTCTTGGTTGTCCTGAAAATGTGTTTTCCGCCTACCGCCTCGCAAAGTATGACTGACTCAACATAGTGGCATATGGTTGACTTATCAGTTCTAACAATTCATGTCTGTACATCATGTGAGTACCAACTCAAAAACGCTCCAAATAAAACCACATTTTGCCTCATGTAAGCATTGGAACATCCTCTAAAATTGAAGGCAAGTCGTCAGTTAAAAATTCATGTGAAATTATTATCTCATCCTACATTGGAAAATGTGATATAAAGGAAGGGACTGATAATGAAATTATTGATAGTTATAAATTAAATTTATAATATTTTTCCACTCTTGATCAATGCAATTTATAAAAACTTGTAATATACAAATGTTTAATGTCTTATATAACATACAAGTAACCTAACAACTATAACCTTCTGGTTGGAAGGTACAAATACTGCTATTTTGAGCACCTGTAATATCAATGTTCTTAAATTCCCAATCACCACAAGCTCCTTCTCCGCAAAGAATAAGTGCTTCCAATGTTGGAGAGTCGTTAAAACTCTTCATCCACCCGCTAATGTTTTCGAGACATAAACCAACAATTGGGATGTTTGTTCCTGGGATTCCCGTAGCTTCACCATTGACATAATCTTGTTGGATGTTCAAGGCGAAGTTATTGATATCTAAGACAAAAAATAAGTTTTGCTACAATATATTTCTATTCCAACATAAATAAAACTTCACAGATAAATCACTACTTCTTTTAATAATGGATAAATATGAATAATGCAATCCTTCATATCCCAATTGGATGTATAGACCGCAAACTCAGTATTATGGAGCGACGATATTAGAAGAAAAACTAAACAATGTGGTATTCAAAAGAAAGGACAGTTAAGATTTAATTTTACGTATAATGCCTCTATATAATCGCTTATAGGTATTCTACCCTGGCACGAATCATCAGAGCGACTGATACAGAAGCTATTAACGTGAAAAGGACAGGACGTGAAGCAATAGCGACATCTGATAATAAATCTCGAAAGTAGAAATCCAAAGATTTCTATTGACGAAACCAAAATTCAGATTTTTGCTTTAATTTGTGCCTTCTATAAATTTGCATGGCAAAACTTCTTCTTCTTTGAGTACCGTGCCCAAGTTTTAGGCGTAAGTAACTTCCATGACGATTTGCCGATATCGTTCTCGATCTTGCGCGGCATGTAATAATCCGTCTGCTGATAAGCCAGTCCATTGACGAAGGTTTCGGAGCCATGAGTATTTCTTCTTACCAATTCCTCTTTTTCTGTCGATCTTTGCGTTGAGTATCAACTGTATTATCCTGTATCTGTATCCTCTCATTATGTGCCACAGATATTCGAGTTTTCTCTTTTTTATCATCTTTATTAAGTCACCTTCACCTTGATCTCCTCTGTACAAGACTTCTCTGTTTAAAATGTGTTAAGGCCATGATATTCTAAGCATTCTACGATATAACCACATTTTGAAGGCTTCTAATTTGTTCATCATGTTAACCTTCGTAATCCAGTTTTAATTTCTTCATCCGAATTTAGTGTCTTGTTTATCCAATATCTTAGGTATTTAAAATGGTTAACTTTTGTTATCTGTTCATTATTGACAATTAGTTGTATAGTGCCGAGGTCTTGTTTACTAACTAAAAGTAACTTTGTTTTTATTGTATTTATGCTTAGTCCGTTATTAGAGCTAGTGACTCGATCTATAAGGAATTGAAGATCCTCGATACTTTCAGACACCTGTTTAACACCTCTTTGACTACAAATTTTGTTTGTTTCTTTACCGTCTACTAGAATAGTAGCTTCTTGATTCCAATATAGATGTTGTAAAATTCTCAGATCTTTATCATCTACCAACCATTTCTAGATATTCAAACAGTATACCATGTTGAACCCTATCAAACGCCTTCTTAAAATCTATAAAACAGACTTAAATTGGTTTCTGTACTTGAAGTAGTTGATACTTCATGTACATAGTACATAGTACCCATGATCCTTGAAGTAGTGTTAGCATTGAGAACAAAGCTTCCCTTGTTCTCAATCCTTCTCTAAAACCTAATTGTGTCTTTCCCATTGTGTCTTCACATGTCTGTTTAATTCTATTAAGAATTGTCATAAGAAGTATATGTGGTTATAAATTATTGTTAATTCTGAGACATTGTCGTCGCCTAGAAGTTTGAGCCAGTCTGATGGTATTTAGTCGGGGCTTGGAGATTTCCCATTTTTGCTTTGTTTGAAGGCTTTTTCTACTTCTGCTTTTAAAATACTAGAACCAGTATTCGTATACTATGTGTTGTTAAATGGCAAAACAGACGACGCTAAAAGATGTAAGAGAGATATGGAAAATCTTAAAGTTGCATTTCACAACATATCTCCTCATTTAAGCAAAAATATTTGGCGAATTGATTTCTTGTACGTATAAAGAATAAATTGAAATGAAAGAAAGGACAGTTAAAATTTGATTTCACGCATAGTGCCTCTGTATATTCGCTTATAAATGAGAAAATTGTTCAATGAACGAATTATTGAAGAAATAAAGCAAAGAAGAGTTTGTTCACAGGCATTACACAAATAAATAATGCTGAAGTAGCCAAAAAAACTGTTCACGTAAAAATAAAATAAAAAAGTTACCTTTAAATTCAATGTTTCGGTAAATAACGTTCTGGATAATTCCTGGTCCACTGTCTGCATGTGTCTTAACGTGAATTCCGTTGGGAGAACGATGAACGAGACTGTCCTCGAAAGTTACATTATAAACGGCATTCTTAGTAAAATCGTCATTGGAGAATCCAACGGAAATACTGAGACCGTGGCCTCCATAGCAAGCCATATTTCTGACTAGGATGTTGGAACCTACATTTACGACAACACAATCATCTTGATTTTTGACTATACTGTTTTGTAGAATCAAATTACTACTGCTGAGGTCAAATCCATCGGTGTTGTGGCCCGTAAAGTTGTTCTGTAAATAAACAAAAGGAATATTGAATTTCAGTATTTAAGCATTATACTTTAGAAGTAACCTCCGGATGGAAATCTGTTTCGGCACAATTTTTAATTGACTCAGTTTGACTCATTGACTGTCCAAAAAATCGACTGCAGGAAACATATAGGTTCTTGTTATAGTCCATAGTCCAAAGTCCATACTACTCAAAACAACTGTCGGTTGTCTGGCTGGACGAGTGTCACCAAAAAAAGCCTATTTCCCGTGTTAAAATTTAGACCGCAGAATCTGGTTTTAACAAGATGGTGCACCGCCACATTTCGCAATAACTGTACGCGATTTTTTAAACAGAACTTTTCCACAACGGTGGATAGGAAGAAGTGGACCAGTGGAATGGCCCCCAAATCACCTCATTAGATTTTTTTATGGAATTATTTAAAATCTAAAGTGTACACCAACAGACCTAATAATATCCGTCAACAACAAGACTGAATTAGACAAGAAATACAGAGCATAACACCTGTTATGCTACAAAATGTTAAAGACGAATTTTTGCATTTTTACCACCCTATATTAATTTAAAGCAACGTGTTATACAATTAGGTGTTTCACAGGGTATATTAAATTATAATTAAAAAAAATCTTCTTCTTCTTACGGTGCCTTATCCTTAAGGACGTTGGCCATTACATTTGCCCATCTAATCTTATTTGTAGCAGCCCTGAATAGTTCTATGGAGGTCATGTTCGTCCATTGCCGTAGGTTTTTAAGCCAAAAGTTGCGTCTTCTTCCTGGTCCTCTTTTGCTATTGACTTTGCCTTCGATTATAAGTTGGAGCAGTTCATACTTTTGATTTCTTATGATGTGACCAAAATATTGTGTTTTCCGTTCTTTTATTATAAGCATAAGCTCTCTTTCCTTATTCATCCTCCGCAAGACTTCCGCATTTGTCTTATGGCTCATGTAGGATATTCTGAGCATTTTACGGTAACACCAGAGTTCGAATGCTTGGATTCTTTTTTGTGTTGCTTCTGTCATTGTCCAGGCTTCAACACCATAAAGCAAGGTGGAGAAAACATAGCACTTAAGTATTCTAGTTCTCAATGAGATGCTCAGCTGGCGGTTGTATAGAACTTTTTGCATTTTGTAAAACATTGTACGTGCCTTTTCCAGGCGTTATCTCTAGTGAGTGGTCCCAAGTTTCATCAAGATTACTTCCAAGGTACGTTGTTCTTGTTACTCTTTCCAGATCTGTTCCATCTACATTGACCTTTACCCTTCTGTTGTGGTGCTTGCTGATGACCATCGTTTTTGTCTTCTTTGTATTCAATTTCATTCCAAATTCTCTACAGGCTGTCGTTACTCGGTCCATTAAGCGTTGCAGGGCTTCAGCATTATCTGCCAGTATGACAGTGTCATCAGCATATCGCAGGTTATTTATACATTGCCCGTTTATAATTATACCATCCGTGGTGCCTTCCAAAGCTTTCTGAAATATCTTCTCAGAGTAAACATTGAACAGAAAAGGTGATAGGACACATCCCTGTCTTACTCCCTTCTCGATATTGATTTTTCCAGATGTTTCGCTTTTTTTTCTGATTTTAGCCTTTTGTTCTTGGTAGAGGTTTGAAATGATCCTTAAGTCTTTATCGTCGATATTAAATGACCTTAAAATGTGCTTCTCTTGTTCCGACCCCATTCTTAAAACCAAACTGAGTTTGACCCATGACCAATGTGTTCGTCTAGTTTATTGTATACTCTATTGTGTATTACTCGTAGGAAAAGCTTCAACATATGATTCATCAGGCTAATAATCCTATGGTCTTCACGTTTCTTGGAGTTTCTCTTCTTTGGTAGTGGTATAAACACCGATGTCAGCCAATCATTTGGTATTTTGCCTGTTTCGTGTTTCGATTTTAGTTCGTTTTAAAAAAATGGTAAATTAAAATCAAAAATCGACCTGTTTCGGGAATTTTAAATAACGTTTATTTAGCTAATAATGAACTTATAAGTTACTTTATGGACGCACTGTATATTACCTATATATATATATATATATATATATATATATATATATATATATATATATATATATATATGCAAATAGATCTCGCACTTACTTTGTCTCCCTCAGATACATCGATGAGCCATCCATCAATAGTGGAGTTGGAAACTGAGACAGAAGCGCATTGAACTGGACAGTTTTTCAAATAAATGTTTTCATATAATGAGTTGCTAGCTTCTAGTCTAATGAATTTTGGCTTCTTGATACCCTTTCCTCCTAAGTGGTCCCAATATAATTCACCTTGGCCATCCAAGACATGACCTAAAATAAAAGCGATATTTTTTAAGATGTTTTGTAATTATATGAGATTGTACAAACAAAAAATGCTTATTATTGATAAATAATCAAAATTCACCTTAATAATACTATAACGGATCTTAACAATAAAGTATAACAATGTTAAAAGAAACATTCTGAAATTTATTGGTCTGAAACGGCAAATCGAATGTCTCGAAATCGCTTTAAAAATATTCTAAGAATGTGGCATTTTGCTAACAATGAACAATGCGAAGAAGAAGACCGACTTAGCAAAATTCGATTCCTGGTTGACTCCCTAAATAAGAAGTTCAAGCAAGTTATCCTTCCTGACCAAACAATCTGTATAGACGAAACAATGGTACCTTTCCAAAGGCACTTAATTTTTCGACAAAATGTTAAAGGAAAACGGTATAAATTAGAAATCAAACTTGTCTCTCTGGAGGGTATACTTACCATTCTAAAATATTGTGGAACAAAAAAATCAAATGATGTGCTGGTAGCCACTAAGATTATTTTTAAACTTATGGGTGGGTGTCTTGATAAAGGCATGACTGTATACGGATAATTGGTATACCAGCATCAAGTTAGCTCAAAAATTACTTGAAAGAAAAGCCCATCTTGTCGGCACACTCAGAAAGAACAGGAAAGAAATTCCAAAAGAAATTTTGTCAGCAGAAAGATGGCATAGTTGTATTCAAATCGTAAGATAAAAAAACTTATTGATGATCACAACAAGACATGATAAAACGTTAGCTGAAGTTCCAGGTAGAAACCAGGCAGTTCCAGGCAGATTTAAACCCAAGGCAGTCCATTGACGAAGGTTTTGGAGCCATGAGTATATCTTCCTACCAATTCCTCTTTCTCTGTCGATCTTTTCGTTGAGTATCAACTGTATTATCCTGTATCTGCTTCCTCTCATTATATGCCCCAGATATTCGAGTTTTCTCTTTTTTATCATCTTTATTAAGTCACCTTCACCTTGACCTACTCTGTACAAGACTTCTCTGTTTGAAATGTGTTAAGGCCATGATATTCTAAGCATTCTACGATATAACCACATTTTGAAGGCTTCTAATTTGTTCATCATGTTAACCTTCGTAATCCAGTTTTAATTTCTTCATCCGGATTTAGTGTCTTGTTTATCCAATATCTTAGGTATTTAAAATGGTTAACTTTTGTTATCTGTTCATTATTGACAATTAGTTGTATAATGCCGAGGTCTTGTTTACTAACTAAAAGTAACTTTGTTTTTATTGTATTTATGCTTAGTCCGTTATTAGAGCTAGTGACTCGATCTATAAGGAATTGAAGATCCTCGATACTTTCAGACACCTGTTTAACACCTCTTTGACTACAAATTTTGTTTGTTTCTTTACCGCCTACTAGAATAGTAGCTTTTTGATTCCAATATAGATGTTGTAAAAGTCTCAGATCTTTATCATCTACCAACCATTTCTAGATATTCAAGCAGCATACCATGTTGAACCCTATCAAACGCCTTCTTAAAATCTATAAAAACAGACCTGAATTGGTTTCTGTACTTGAAGTAGTTGATACTTCATGTACATAGTACATAGTACTCATGATCCTTGAAGTAGTGTTAGCATTGAGAACAAAGCTTCCCTTGTTCTCAATCCTTCTGTAAAACCTAATTGTTTCTTTTCCATTGTGTCTTCACATTGTGTCTGTTTAATTCTATTAAGAATTGTCCTAAGAAGTATATGTGGTTATAAATGATTGTTAATTCTGAGACATTGTCGTCGCCTAGAAGTTTGAGCCAGTCTGATGGTATTTGGTCGGGGCTTGGAGATTTCCCATTTTTGCTTTGTTTGATGGCTTTTTTCTTCTTCTGCTTTTAAAATACTAGAACCAGTATTCGTATTCTATGTGGTGTTAAATGGCAAAACAGACGACGCTAAAAGATGTAAGAGAGATATGGAAAATCTAAAAGTTGCATTTCACAACATATCTAAAATATTGTGGAACAGAAAAATCAAATGATGTGCTGGTAGCCACTAAGATTATTTTTAAACTTATGGGTGGGTGTCTTGATAAAGGCATGACTGTATACGGATAATTGGTATACCAGCATCAAGTTAGCTCAAAAATTACTTGAAAGAAAAGCCCATCTTGTCGGCACACTCAGAAAGAATAGAAAAGGAATTCTAAAATAAATTTTGTGAGCAGAAAGATGGCATAGTTCTATTCAAATGGAAAGATAAAAAAACGTGTTGATGATCACAACAAAACATGATGAAATGCTAGTTGAAGTTCTAGGCAGAATAAATAAATTTAAACCCAAGGCAGTTGTTGATTATAACAAAGCAAAAACGTTTATTGATTTATCTGACCAGATATCGTCATATTGAACTTCTGTAAGACGAAGCCTTAAATGGTAGCCTAAAGTTGCAGTAGAATTGTTTACTGGAACTTGTGTTGTAAATGCTTGTTATTTATTTAATAAAAATAATAACAAAGTAGATCAAAAACAAATACCAGAATTCCGAGAAGCTTTATGCTTCAAAATGCTTGCTTTTGGAAAAAAAATTCTTAGATTTTCAACTGCAACGTCGACTAAAACACATTAATCTCAACTGAAAAAAAGACGTTGTGCATTATGCTACAAAAAATATAAGGATGCCAATGGGCGCGCATATGCAACAAAAAATTCAAGGCAAGTTAAAACCAAATGCAAAACTCGTGAGTAACTTTTTTTTTTGTCTTAAATGCTGTTATGTTTTTTTGACACTTTATATATATATTATATTACACTTATAGTCCAGGCTGTGAGGCCGCTCCCGTTGGGAAAATGTTTCTGATTCGGTTTCTTCGCGGATTCCGGTTAAAAAATATCGCCTTTAAACAAATCTGAAGGGTGCCGGGCGAAATTTTTGGGCACAAATTGTTTAAACAATTTTTTTTAAACAAATTCCAAAAATATTTTTTTTTTAATCTGGAAAACGTTTTTTTTAGGTTTTTTGGGTCATTCTAAACAAAAAGGTTTCTTTGTCATTTTTTCTAAAGTTGATAGTTTTTGAGTTATAACCGATTTAAAGTCTGAAAACGCGAAAATACGCATTTTTGAGGCTTGAAAACACATATGTAAATTATTATTTTTGAGGTTACCAAGTGCCTAAATTGAAGTTTAAACATTCAACTTCAAGATTGTGAAGAGTAATCGGGGCTTATTTTAATTTAGACCGTTGTTTTTAATTGTTAAATATGCGCGTACACTCGATTTTTCAGCCGCCACGGCGCGGCGCGCTAGAAGTGCGCTTCTATCGTACTTATGCATAGTTTACATATACACTTACGCAAAAAAACCCGAACAAATCCTTGAAGTTTATTAACATAGTTGTTTCCATAATTTATTTATGTAGGTATTAATTATTGTCATTGGGCTAATTAAATAAATCAATCGTCGCAATGTAATAACCGTATATAGTTTTTTTTTCTTCCAAATTTGAACAATATAATTATTATTTATTGAGTATATATTTATTTATATCAATTGTAAATAATATTTTTAAATTATTATTTAAATAATACAATGCAGTAAATATTAATATTAGTAAACTTAATTTTAAATTGCGCGGTGTTTAAAAACAATATACTATCGCAAAAATGCAAGTTTTTTACCTGTTTAACAATCGCGCGCTCATACTTGATTTGTTATTACTTAAACGATCATTAGGAAGACTATTGTTTAAAGTCTATTAAAAGGGTGTTATACGATTAATGTGTTATTAAAAAAATTGAGAATGGATTTAAAATGCCTTTTTCCGTACCTCTTCTTAAATGAAAAATTTACCGAAGAAAATTTAGTTTGTATTTTTTGTAATAACATCAACAATATTAAGTTAATGCAAAAACCTAAAGTAGATTTTTACATAACAATACAAAATGCTGCTCTTCGACGAAAAGACAGTGTGACTGAAAAATTTAATTTAATCTAGCCAATATACCTTGTACCTCTGACGCACTTTACCAACACTTGTTAAGAGCTTTCGCTAAAACATATATTTGGCGAAATGCCATATATTCCCGCTATCAAAACTCTCGATTTTACACAATATGGATATTATATGTCTGATAGTGGTGGGTTGGGAAAGCGTGCAAATGCAAAAAGACTTGCAAAACTAATGCTTGCAACTGCAAGAAAAATCATGTCAACTGTGTACCATTATGTGGATGTGATTTAGATTTTTGTGAAAACAAAGATACTTTTACTGAGTGATATTATTGTGTTATTTAACAATCTTTTGTACAATTATTTTATGTAACTATTATTAGACTTTAGACGAAATTTATATTATAACTCAATTGATATAAATAAAATATACTCAATAAATAATAATTATTTGTAAGTATATGTAAACTATGCATAAGTACGATAGAGGCGCACGGTAGCGCGCGGCGCCGCGGCGGCTGAAAAATCGAGTGTACGCGCATACTTAACAATTAAAAAACAACGGTCTAAATTAAAATAAGCCCCGATTACTGTTCACAATCTTGAAGTTGAATGTTTAAACTTTGATTTAGATACTTGGTAACCTCAAAAATAATAATTTACATATGTGTTTTCAAGCCTCAAAAATGCGTATTTTCGCGTTTTTCAGACTTTAAATCGCTTATAACTCAAAAACTATCAACTTTAGAGAAAAATCACAGGAGAATTTTTTTGTTTAAAATGGCCCAAAAAACCTAAAAAAACGTTTTCCAGATTAAAAAAAATTATTTTTGGACTTTGTTTAAAAAAATTGTTTAAACAATTTCTGCCAAAAATTTCGCCCGCCATTATTTTGAACCGGAATCCGCGAAGAAACCGAATCAGAAACATTTTCCCAACGGGAGCGGCCTCACAGCCTGGACTATTATATTTGTAATAGAAAATAATGTTCTTTTTTTAATTATTTCTTTCTTTTATTATGTAAAATTTTTGTTAATTTTTTTTTTATTTGTTCGTAAAATGTTTGTAATAAATAGCTTATTTTTACTTAATTTTTGCCATTTGAATAATTAAGGTTTGCCTTATAACTATATGTGATAAATAGTATAAAACAGTATAGCTTCCTCTTCATATGCCAGATATTGCAGTTTTCTGAATTTAATTGTATTTAAAACCTCTTTATCTTTTCCCATTTCTATTTGTCCTAAACATCTTTCTTTAGTTGACAAGCCTCCAACCCATAAAATAATATGGGGAACACGTAGCATCTCAGAATGTCTTATCTTTAAATAAATTGAAATGTCCCTGCTGCAGAGTACTTTTTCATTTTGTTGAAAGAATTTCTTGCCTGTGTATTCTTGCCTTAATCTCTCCTGTGTACTCATTATTACTGTGTTCAGTATAGCTAATCAAATCTTAATAAAAAATGTAAACTTTTTAATTTCCTACTGCTAAGTATATTTACATGCAGCCTCCACACGACGGTCAACGTGTTAATTAAAAACTCCTATTAGATTATTATTTATCTCCAGGTGTGACGATTGATTTAATTGATTAGCACCTGTGATATGCACCTTATGATTACAGTATAAAACCATTTGTTTGCTGGAATATTTGGTAAAAAGGAAAAAACACCTGCGGATCAGTATTTTGCAAGGCAGTATGAGTTGTCACACATATTGAACAACAACCGAATAGTTGATACATAGAATTTCCGTCGTTTGACATCAATTTTCTTAACAGAAGGAGCCAGTGTGTTATAGAAACGTGTTTGAGGGGTGTCTCATGGAACAGAAAAAACCTTTGACTAGTTGTTCGAAAGTATGCAAAATATATAGATAATACAAAAGGATATTTTGAAAAACAATAAAATTGTTTTCCATGATAAATTATTGTTTTTTATTATTAGGCCCAAATATACAAGTTTTCTTTATACACTGGTAAATATAGTAGGTAAAAATAATAAAGTACCAATAATAATTACAACAAAATCAACGTACCTGGTGCACCTCTCACGATGAGACTGTCTCCCGAGATTTTAATAAGAGGTCCTTTCCATTCGAAATAATCAAAGTACGTTCTTCCTTCGAAAGTTAATTCAGATCCATTCTGCAATTTTAGATCTAAAGTCTTGTTAGCAGGAACTCTGAGGTTGGAAACTACGATATTTTTACAATTTTTAACTACATCTGTCACTTGGGAATACTCGGTAATGGTGCAGGTGTCATCGTTTAGGCTTTTTGCAGCAGCACTAACAGCTACAAAAAGAAGCAAATAGAGCAACTTGTTAGACGACATAATAAAGAGCGGATACTTGGAAAAAAATCGTAAAAATCATGTTTTATAGCAGCATGACGATATTTATACACTTCAGATAATATTTATCGCTATGAATTTATTAAAAATGTGAGTGTTGTTTATTTTAATTCCAATATTCGGCCATGACATTGGACAAATAGCACGTGTTAAAAAAATGTTTGAAATTGTATTATGTTATCTTAGAGTACTCTTAAATAAAATTCACAAAAAGAACAAAAAAGTACTAAAACTATATTACATACGCAGAACTTACAACTGGGTTTCATTAAAGGGCAAATTAATAGTAGAACTGATGCTTTGCATTGATTTCATTTTTTCTAGAAATTATAAATAACCATTACACACAATTCACTCAATACGTTGATTTGAGCCATCAAAAGTATCATGTTAAAAAAAACAATCAAATGAAAAAATATACTAAAGACTAAAACAACGTTTAGTACTCGTATGTCAAGAACGCTTTTTATATTATGTTTATAGCGACCTGCGCCTTGTTTCTACTAAATCCAATGACAAAAACCGAAAAAAAATATAATTATCTTTGACGTAAGAAAAAAAGACAACATTAAAGTAATTAAAGAATAGAGTATAGAAAATCCGAGAACAACTATAAGATCCATTGGAACTATGCAATGAATTTAAAAACCAAGTTAACGAAATCTCCACAAACAATGATTATAGAAGTAACTTATCAAGAAAAATAAATGGACTACAGAAGACATCTTGAAATTGATTGAACAACTTCGACTTAACTAAAAATACTCTAAAACAGAATTAGACTCAAATGCAAAGATCTCGAAGATATTCTAGGTAGGCACTTATTATGCTAAATATTTTTTTACAAAAATCTCATGATCAGAAAACAGATATATGCATTCGATAAGGTATAGCATGCTAAAATTAATGCAGATTTTAAGAAATATAGGAATAGATGACAAAGATATTAGTGTCATTAAAAATCTGTTCTGAAGCTATTTTCTTGTGGCATTGTAAATTAATTACTATTTATAACTGGGAATAAGCCACAATTAAAGATAAAAATACGTTTATTGACGTTTCAATTTCCAATTCGGAAATCGTTCTCAAAATACAAATAGTAAATTAAACAAATTTTGTTTTTTTTGTTACATAGTGAAAAAATTCTTCTAATAATTTAATTTTATCTGACTCATTTATATTGACAATTCAGACATACATTATGCATTTTAAAGTAGACGACTTTAAAATGATATTGCCAATATTGTTGAGTTGCGCTCCTGGGACGACTTTACTTATAAGATAGTTCATTCGATTACATGAAATCAACTTTAACTTGAGAATATCCGTCAGAAAAAAATTATAGCATGTAATTCGTCTTTAAAAAGACAAACACATGACACGATGACAGTTAAAATTCTCCTGTTAGTGATTCCATAGTAAATTATAAGGGAAAAACAGGAAAAAAACCTCATAATACTATCCCGACATTGTAAGTATTTGTTCGTGAATTTAGTTTACCTTCAACAAACATCAAAATTCTGATTTTATATGTTACGTTATTGAAAAAACATAAATTGAATAATTCAAATATAGTCCTAAAAGAAACGGATGGTAAAAAAGAAGAATCAAAGAAGCGGCTCTAATTATGCTAAATGAGGCCAATTGTGTCGCAAATTCCTACGGCAGAATGTAGTAGGATTGGTTACCAATATTGAAAGAGGAAGTTATTAATAAGAAATACCAGTATTAGTAAGTCAGTAACATATAGAGGATCTTCTTGTTAATCCAGCCACATACTGTACCTGGTGATAGGTTCTAAACAAATTCTGGCTGAAAGCTCTTAAAATGAGAGGTATTATAGCTAACTTGAGCAAAGAATGTATAGGCTACTTTACAATAATTTTCAATTAAGACTGTTAGCGAAAACAATGTAGATCTTTCATGTTTCTGGCACCAAACATCGTAGGAAGGAGATGCTTTTCTCCATCACATTCCCAATTCCTCGTTAACAGTGTCAGCAATAGTGTAGACTTTTCCCTGCAGATTGCCCTTATTTGGACCACCGTTTTCAATTTCTTCTCTGATGGTGCTTGCACAGTCAACAAAACTAGTAGGTCCTTGTCATCACCAGTAACATAATATTCAACGTCTTTCTTAGCTCCTTTAATAGCTGCTTAAACTATTAGTAAGTCATCGTCACTCGATGCTTAATGAATTGTGTAACCACATGTAAGTGTAAGAAGTGAAATAATTTTGTTGTTAGCGTTAACTAAAAATTCACTTTGGTTTATATTTACATACTCTGCGTAAGTATTTTTCATTTTTTTTTTATTTTCTTGCTGGTATTCGTCGAATACAACAGTCGTTGTTCCGTAATGAGTAATTATGTAGTCTTTGTATTGCTCGCAAATTTCTTTAAAGATAGTTGGGCGTCACTAGACAACACGATGAAGGAGGTGAACTCCATCAATGATGTATGACATTTTCCCTGAATCTAGAGTACATGATGATTCTTTTGTGTCTGGAACCAAAACAGTAATTATTAAAGATTGGCTGTGTTTTCTCATAGTTCATATTGAAATATTTTTTCAAGTCCGTCCACTCCTTAATGTCCACACCATCCGATGTAAGAGAGTGTTGGCTCTGAAAGCATCAGTTGCTTTGTGAGAACTATATAGACATCGCTCTGCTTGGATATTGCGATAAATTATTAGAATTCTGAGAAGGAGACTTATTACGGTTAGACATATGACTCTTTTGATCTTAATTTGGTTTTGTTTAAGTTTATTTTAAGGCCCATTTCCTCTCCTACGTGAATACTATTAAGCAGAATTTGGAGACCTTCAATAGTTTCTGACAAAAAAAATTACATAGTTCCTCATTGATTTTTATTCCATATGGCTGTCTCTCAACTGCTTTTTTAAATAACGTCAGAGTGAACATTGAACAATGTTGGGCACAAAATGCAACCTTTTCTGGCTTCTCATTGTATGGATATTTCGGTTGTAATTGTCTTCAAATATTACGATTTCAGTTTGATTTTAACATAGATTTTTTAATTACTATTTATAACTGGGAATAAGCCACAATTAAAGATAAAAATACGTTTATTGACGTTTCAATTTCCAATTCGGAAATCGTTCTCAAAATACAAATAGTAAATTAAACAAATTTTGTTTTTTTGTTACATAGTGAAAAAATTCTTCTAATAATTTAATTTTATCTGACTCATTTATATTGACAATTCAGACATACATTATGCATTTTAAAGTAGACGACTTTAAAATGATATTGCCAATATTGTTGAGTTGCGCTCCTGGGACGACTTTACTTATAAGATAGTTCATTCGATTACATGAAATCAACTTTAACTTGAGAATATCCATCAGAAAAAATCATAGCATGTAATTCGTCTTTAAAAAGACAAACACATGACACGATGACAGTAAAATTCTCCTGTTAGTGATTCCATAGTAAATTATGAGGGAAAAACCAGGAAAAAAAACCTCATAATACTATCCCGACATTGTAAGTATTTGTTCGTGAATTTAGTTTACCTTCAACAAACATCAAAATTCTGATTTTATATGTTACGTTATTTAAAAAACATAAATGATGTATCCTCTATATGTTACTGACTTACTAATACTGGTATTTTCTTATTATATAACTTCCTCTTTCAATATTGGTAACCAGATGCTACTACATTCTGCGAGGAATTTGCGACACAATTGGCCTCATTTAGCAATAATTAGAGCCGCTTCTTTGATTATTCTTTTTTACCATCGTTTCTTTTAGGACTATATTTGAATTATTCAATTTATGTTTTTTAAATAACGTAACATATAAAATCAGAATTTTGATGTTTGTTGAAGGTAAACTAAATTCACGAACAAATACTTACAATGTCGGGATAGTATTATGAGGTTTTTTTCCTGGTTTTTCCCTCATAATTTACTATGGAATCACTAACAGGAGAATTTTACTGTCATCGTGTCATGTGTTTGTCTTTTTAAAGACGAATTACATGCTATGATTTTTTCTGACGGATATTCTCAAGTTAAAGTTGATTTCATGTAATCGAATGAACTATCTTATAAGTAAAGTCGTCCCAGGAGCGCAACTCAACAATATTGGCAATATCATTTTAAAGTCGTCTACTTTAAAATGCATAATGTATGTCTGAATTGTCAATATAAATGAGTCAGATAAAATTAAATTATTAGAAGAATTTTTTCAACTATGTAACCAAAAAAACAAAATTTGTTTAATTTACTATTTGTATTTTGAGAACGATTTCCGAATTGGCAATTGAAACGTCAATAAACGTATTTTTATCTTTTAATTGTGGCTTATTCCCAGTTATAAATAGTAATTAAAAATCTATGTTAAAATCAAACTGAAATCGTAATATTGAAGACAATTTACACCGAAATATCCATACAATGAGAAGCCAGAAAAGGTTGCTATTTTGTGCCAACATTGTTCAATGTTCACTCTGACGTTATTTAAAAAAAGCAGTTGAGAGACAGCCATATGGAATAAAAATCAATGAGGAACTATGTAATTTTTTTTTTGTCAGAAACTATTGAAGGTCTCAAAATTCTGCTTAATAGTATTCACGTAGGAGAGGAAATGGGCCTTAAAATAAACTTAAACAAAAACCAAATTAGATCAAAAGAGTCATATGTCTAACCGTAATAAGTCTCCTTCTCAGAAATTCTAATAATTTATCGCAATATCAAGCAGAGCGATGTCTATTATAGTTCTCACAAAGCAACTGATGCTTTCAGAGCCAACACTCTCTTACATCGGATGGTGTGGACATTAAGGAGTGGACGGACTTGAAAAAATATTTCAATATGAACTATGAGAAAACACAGCAATCTTTAATAATTACTGTTTTGGTTCCAGACACAAAAGAATCATCATGGTACTCTAGATTCAGGGAAAATGTCATACATCATTGATGGAGTTCACCTCCTGCATCGTGTTGTCTAGTGACGCCCAACTATCTTTAAAAAAATTTGCGAGCAATACAAAGATTACATAATTACTCATTA